TCATTGTGTATTTAATTCAAATCATTGTGTATTTAACTCAAATTTTGCTACAAAAGGCTCTTTTCTTAACTATGGGTCATCTGTAACCCGGGTTTCTTAACTGGGGGACTACCTGTACTGACAAGGAAAAGATAATTAATAGAATATATAACAATATCTAATCAAATAGCAGTGTGAATTCCAGGTTAACGATTCCAGCAGTAGACCCAAATTCTCTTTATGGCAATAGCTACTAGACAGAATTTAGCAGTCTTCCTGGTCATTTCAAAATGAGGTCTGCAGCAGAAAGCATGCTTTTTCCTCATCTATCCAATTCATGCTCTGTTCTAATCATGCCCCAGCTCGTTAACCACTTGGATGCTAGGCAGATATATAAATAAAATGTTGCTATGGTCATAGACCAAAATACAAGGTGAGCAGCTGAATGGTACCCATAATTTACAATAAAAGACACAATGAGCAGGAGACGTTAATACTGGCAATCACATCTGCCCAAAACCAGCAAATAACTAAGAAGCAGTGTGAGGTAAATTAAACTCATTTTTTCATTCTGTAAAGCACAGGATTCAAAATTCAAGGTCCTGTGAACTTCAGACCTGTAGAAATATGCATGTGATTATAAAACCGCCTTTCAGGATTTGACCCTTGGTCAGCCAGACATTACCAGAGGTCAGTGATCTCTATTAGGCTGGAGATGGGTGGGAAACATAAAGTAATTCTTTAACTTTCTCCTCTGAAAATTTAATTTTAACCAATTCTTGTTTCTTTGTACATGAAGCATGTGCCATAATAAGACTTCAGATAAATGCTTTAGCTGTAACCCATATCAAATACAATGATGTAACCAAGTCTTGTAACTATGAAAGAACCTTATTATTTCCTATCCTCTTTGCTTAACAAAACCTGTGTCATGCATCAATGATACATTGAAGGGCCACTTAAAGAATATATGCAATTTTTCATCAAGTAGAGCAGTAAGCTTCACAGGAGCTTATTGCTCAAATTAT